AGTGGCACTGTGGCTCAAGTGGTAGAGCGCTAGCCTTGAGCTGAAGAGCTGAGGGACAGTGCCCAGGCCCAGAGTTCAGGCCCCACAACCGGACCAAAGAGAGAGAGAGAGACAGAGAGAGAAAGAGAGGGAGGGAAAGGAAAGGAAAGGAAATGTTGGGCAGGTTCTCAGGGTGGCTGGGGAGTTACTTGAGGCCCACCTTATGGGAGAGGGCTGGTGGTGGCCAAGCTTACCGTAACAAGTTGGGTGCCCAGACGATGGCCAGGTTGCGGGCATGCATGCTGGTGTTAGCACTGTGTCTTGCCATGCGGGCTAGGTGCCTCAGCAGGTACTCCAGGGTCCTGGGGGTGGGGACAGATAAGTCTCGGCTTCCTGAACCTCCAAGCCAGCCCTCCCTGGCCCCCACCCCCCGGCCCGCCCCTGGCCTGACCTGTAGTGGGGTGGAGGGAGCTGCTGGATGACATCATGGACTCGCACCAGGCGTTCCTCCTCCCCAGGCACTGACATGGCCTCCTGAGGGGGTGAGTGGGCATGAGGGGGCGTGGCCTGGCACGTGGGCACCTGCCACCCTCCCAGCTCCCTCACTCACACTGAACTTCCCATATAGCTGGTAGGTGAGCAGGGGGTTGGGCAGCTCCCGGAAGTAGAGCTTGCAGAGGGAGGACACGCTGTGGATGTCCTGCAGGAAGGCGGGCCCAGACAGCTCAGGGATCCTCTCACTGTCAAACTCGTGCCTGGGACGGCCAGGTGAGGAGGAAGAAGTCTCCAGTCAGCCTGGCTCACTATGTCCCCTCTTGCCCCACAGCTGGTTCTAGCTTTTTCCCCAGGCCCTGTGTGAATGTATCTTAGGATCTTAGGTCTTGCCAACCCCTGCCCTTCCAGCAACCCGATGTGTCCCATTTTATTTTATTGTATTGTAAAGATGATGTGCAGAGGGGTTACAGTTACAGAAGTAAGGAAACGAGTCCATTTCTTGTCCAACAGTGTTATTCCCTTTATAAAGAGGACACTGCGGGTTCTTTGCTCTGTAGCTACCCAAGGCCTTCGGATGCCAGAATGTTCCATGCTCTAACCATAAAATCATATTCTTTTGGTTTTGTGTATGTGTGTGTGTTTGTGTGTGTGTGAGAGAGAGAGAGGAAGAGAGAGAGTCCTGCGGTTTGAAGTCCAGGCTTTGGCACAGTCCCTGAGCTTTTTTGTTCAAGGCTAATGCTCTTCCGCTTGAGCTACAGCTCCACTTCTGATGTTTTTGGTAGTTGGAGATGAGACTTTCACAGACTTTCCTGCTCAGGCTGACTTTGAACGACTGTCCTCAGATCTCAGCTCCTGAATAGCTAGGACTTACAAGCATGGGCCACTGGCAGTCACTGCAAAATGTAGCTAAGACCTCACCATACCCCAGTGTCCCACTCTACTAGTCCCCACTACAGCTTCATTCTGCCGACTGGACAGCATCATAGCTTGCTGTAGCACTCCGCCCGCGCCCCCCCCCAACTCCGGCCTGGCTCTTCTTCCCTCTACTGGCCATGCTTGCCCAGGACTATCCATCCACACAGCCTGTTCCTCACCTCACCCCCGCCTCCATGACACCTCTACTCCCACTCTCCTTCCTGCTTGATGACCCCCTATTTCTTCAACCCACTTTGCTCCACAGCATGTGTCACCAAGGAAACAATCACCCAGGAAATGATCGTCTCCTCATTTGTCTCTAGCAGGTGGACCCAATGCAGGCAGTGGTTCCCTGGCTGTGTGTCTGGTGCCTAGGACAGTGCTGGGCATGAGGCCAGCGCTCAGTGAAGGTGATCCTTCAGCTTGGGATGCTAAGCCTCCTCTCACCGTTTAGTGGAAGCCCTCTCTGACCCAGCTCTGGTCTGCCCTAACAGTGCCCCTGGCTCTGAAGGCCAGTTGTGGGAGGGAGTGGGGGGGTGAGGCCCTCACCGAAGCCTCTGGATGTTGGAGGACACCCCCGAAAGCCGGTATATTCCATCCACCACCCCATGGGCCTCGATGAACTCAGAGCAACAGCGCAGCACCTGGGGCACTGGGAGAAAAGCAGCAGGTCAGACCCTGGTGGGTCACCTCCTAGATGGCAGGGTGAGGTGAAGCAGGGCCCAGGTCTCACCATCCTGGCCGGAGTTGCTAAGGTGCTCTCCCAGGTCACAACCGAACACCCTCTGCCGCAGGATCCCCCGCTGCCGTAGCCGTTGGCGGGAAGGGCGGGAGCGCATGAAGGTGCGGAGGAGGCCAGCCAGCTTCCCACGGGGCCGGGGCACCGCTGTAGGGGGCAGAGGGAGGCCACCTGGGGTCAACACAGCCACAACAGCCACAGGCCAGGAGCCACACAGGGGCAGACACCTGAGCCCTCGTTTCCATTACCTGAGGTCAGAGCAGAGACGCCCTGTGGAGTTGCAATGCTACCCAGAGGACCATCAGCATCTGTGGGAATGGGGAGGGACAGTGGGTAGAAAGGACGGGGGGGGGGAGGGGGTATGCAGAGGATACAGGAGGTCCTCACCTGTGCATGCACTTACCTGTCTTGAGACCAGGACCTGGCCGCTCGGTGAAAAGTTCCACACACTCACTGGGAAAGAAACCCACCTGAGGAAGAGTCAAGAATCTGTGGCTGGCCACTCAGGCAGGAATGGCGCCCTGCCCCCAACATGCCCCCCCCCAACTAAAGCCAGGCTCACCTGGAAGCCTCGCTTTCCTCGCCACCAGCTCCGATCCTCTGCGGGTGGCATGTCAATCACAGACACAATGTCTCCCACCTAGAGAGGAGAGAGGGGGTGAGGAGGGTTGGGGAGGATGAGGGGACCAGCTGGAGTCTGCACCCCGTCCCCCCAGGCTCACCTCAAAAGATAGCTCATCTGGTGCCTGAGCTGTGTATCGCTTGACCACGTGAGCCGCAGCCACGGCAGGGACGTTGAGTGAGGCCTCCTCGCTGAGGAGCAGCCGCCGTCCATGGTTGTCCAGCTGAGATGGAGGAGGGGTCAGGGGTTAACACAGGGAGACCATGCCCAACAATACCTCCAATCCTATCTGCCTTCTCTTCTTCTCCTTCCTACTATATCCAGTTCTCCAGTTCCCCCAAGACCTACCCAGAGCAGACACCACATCTCACTTATCTAAAACCCCTCTGGTGTGTTGGGCACCCGTGGCTCAGGCCCATAATCCTAGGTACTCAGGAGGCTGAGATATGAGGATTGGGATTTGAAGCCAGCCCAGGCAGGAAAGTCTATGAGACTCTTATCTCCAATAAGGTACAAAAAGACAAAAAAAAAAAGAAAGAAAGAAAAAGCCAGGAGTGGAGCTGTGGCTCAGTGGTAGAGCCTTGAGTAAAAAAGCTAGAGGCAGTATTCAGGCTCTGAGTTCAAGCCCCAGGATGGCACAAAAAATACATAAATAAAACCCCTCTGATGTAATACCTTCTTAGCCAGGCATTCTAAGTGACACACCAATCTTTCTAATAGGTAGACCCTTAAATCCCCATCTACAACACCTGCTGAAAAACACATGCACAGGCATGCATATGCATGCGCATACACACGCACACACACACACACACACACACACACACACACACACATTCTGTCATAGGCTTGTGCCCACACAAACACTAAAATACCAGGGCCTCTCCCACACTCTCCTTTCTTTCCTGTGCCCACACACTCTCTGAAGCTGGTCCTTGCACTGCAGACCCGCCTCGCTCCATCCTAACTCCCAGCCCCAGGGCCCTGGCCCACCTCCATCCAGGTGAGCACTGGGCCGCAGTTGAGGTTACTGTCCACCAGTCCTGATAGGGTCTCCAGGTACTGAAGCAGCAGTGGCACCAGCATCTGGGGGCAGGTCATGAGCAAGGGCTTGTGTGAGGGCATGGTGAGGGCTGCCATCTGCCCTCCCATAGGGCCCTTGATCATCTGTGAGCAGACCTGTAGGCATGCTTCAAAAATATTGTCAGAAGCCGGGTGCTGGTGGCTCACGCCTGTAATTCTAGCTACTCAGGAGGCTGAGATCTGAGGATCATGGTTCAAAGCCAGCCCGGGCATGAAAGTTTGTGAGACTCTTTTTTTTTTGGATCCGGTCGTGGGGCCTGAACTCTGGGCCTGGGCGCTGTCCCTCAGCTCTTCAGCTCAAGACCAGCGCTCTATCACTTGAGCCACAGTGCCACTTCCGGCTTTTTTCTTTTTGCTTATGTGTTGCTGAGAAATCGAACCCAGGGCTTCCTGCATGCAAGGCAAGAGCTCTACCACTGAGCCACCTTCCCAGCCCCAAAAGTCTGTGAGACTCTTATCCCCAGTAAACCACCAGAAAACCGGAAGTGGCGCTGTTGCACAAGTGGTAGAGTGCTTGCCTTGAGCTGAAGAGGGCAGGGACAGCGCCCAAGCCCAGAGTTCAAGCCCCATGACTGACAAAAAAAAA